GTCTTTTTCACTTCCAAAAACGGTATACTACCGTAAAATTAATGTCCAATACATGTAATGTCCAATACAGTTTTTCACCGTATATAGTAGGGGAATTTACCGTTAACCATTTAACAGGTTTTTACTGTAGCATTTTTAGTCTTTTACCGTTAAATTCACGGTCATTTTTTACAGTGTGCAAACATCCAGTCTGTGTTTCTTCATTATTAACATGCAGTTATATAGGTGTTGGATTTTATCCTTAGCTCCTTGCATTCTTTCTTATGTAGAGAACAGGTTAAGTAAAAATATGAATATGCAATATAGTGCATATATTTAGCAAAATGCTCCTCTTTATAGTTATTTTTTTAGCTGACTGATGAGCTTATGGACGCTGAATGGTTATTCTGAGGTAAATGTATTATTGCATAACATTGTTTACAAGCTTTACCGCAGTTTGAAACACTGAATGAGCGAGTAGATGAGACATTTCAATAAGTTGCACTGTATCTTGTAATATACCTTTTGGTGTGCATTCATGTTTATTTCGTACTATAGTAGTAAAGAGAAAGCTCTAATGAGTTCACATGCTTCTTGAACTGAGGCGCTGATGGGATCACTCACGCCACATTAAGGAGCGCCAACATGGTATTTATTGTTTGAATTTCGTTATGAATTCGGCAGAATTTTAAAGTTGATACTTTATTTATGAAAAGGTAACAGAGCACAAAGCCTATAGCAATTACTGGATGGCAAGAGCACTACAAATAATATGAAGTTCATGCATTAACAGAACAGCATATAGACTAAAGATCTTGATAATGAGAATCCATATTAGCATCGATTATAAACGAGAACTGTTGATGCTGTTCATGTCCACACAGCTGACAGCTTTACTTGTAGTTTTTTATGAAATAGACATAGCGTTTCTGCACTTACTCCGGTGTTCATTCACACATCTCGGTCATGTTCGTTCCCTCTCATGCTGCACAACTGGAGCTGCTTTTAGCAGGTGTGCCGTCAACGCTGGTCTTCGGCAGAAATGAGGACTTTTTCCACTAAAACTCTGATGCGCATCGTTTCAATTTATTACGTCAACATAAAAAATGTGATCGCAAAACAAGCAGGAAATTTTTTTAAAATCATATCATGTACATTTATAGTTACCAGTGGCGATCTTAGCAAAAATATCACAAAAAATTTATATTTTTGGTTGCAATGGCAACCGTTTTAGGCGGGGTCTGGAGCCCTGTAAACTGATGTCTTCTGACAGGATAATCTAATCTAAAATTTTTGGTCAGCAGGATATGGGCACAATTTAAAACTCTAATTCTAAAATTCTAAAAACTAAAATTCTTCAAAATGTCTTTTGTGTTCCGAATCATGATAGTGATTAAATGATTTCCCTTTCTTTTCCTGACAATGCAAATACCCGTGTTATGATTTCTACCACAGATCGGAGCTACAATGAAAGAGACTAAAATAATATTTACCTTGAGAGGTGGGTCAGCAGGCTTTGTCTCAATTTTGGGTTCAGAGAGAGACTTCATGGCCGCTGCTGCATGCCGCACAATACACTGATGACCGCAGTACACTGACTCGGGCAGAGAGTCATTACTGCAGCCTGGACCAATGCATTTAGGTAATGCCGCCTTCTCCTCTGCCTTAATCTCCTCCTCCACTGGCTGCTCAATCTCCACCCGAGACCCAAGACACAGATTAGATAAAGTAATAGCAAGAAAATTTGTGCGCAACACAGTCTTATGCGTGTTGACCAAGTTTGGTGACAATTGCATAAAAACACTAGGAGGAGTAGGGGCCGCGATCTGGCGATTTTATATCATGATCTTGTAGATGTCCACAATGTAGTTTTCAAATGAATCATACAGATTGTTGTCTTATGTACTATAAAATTGTCAAATCCACACAGCTTTCAGTTGGCAGGATTTTTTAAGTTATTAACAACTTGAGCGATGAAGAGACATAGATGAATCAGACAGTAAAGAGTGGGATGTGCTTGATATTAAAAGGAGTTAATAAAAATCAAAAAAGCCACAAAAGAAAAATCAAAACCCATAACCCTTGAATTGCTCTAAAACTAGACAAAGATACAGTCTAGATAATGTCTATAGTTTTCTCTCCACTGGACTGTACAGAGTAGTATTGTATCATGCCTGTATGCTTCATGTAAGGTCATTTAATTTGTCCACACAATGAAAAACTTTAAAACATGTTTTTTGTTTTCAACTTGTCAGCCTGTGAGATTGCCGATACACAATATTATTGTGCTAATTTAATTATTTTCTTCGTTTCATTGCCGGAAAGTGAACCAACTCCAGCATAAGGCTAAAAGCAGCCTAATATTTTTAATATAACTGAATTTGTATTTAACAATTTTATAGAAACATTGTAAGTTACTAACTATTTTGCTTATATTTCCTCAGTTATTCAAAAAGCAGCTACAGAAAATGAGCAAAGAACATATACATTACCAAAGACCATCATCACTGACTCAGTCTAGCATGAGTATACGCTCTTTAAAAAACACTCCTGTTACTTATAACTAGTAAAGCCATCTATACTGTGTGATGAATAAACCCCTTATTTACACTGCACACGCGCTACGGCTCCGGCACAGTCACTCCAGTCAATGCTTTTGTTTATACAAGGCATGCATGTTTCTGAAACGTCCCATCACTAAAGATAGGCGCCTAGTTTATTTTTGACTAATAATAATAATAATAATAATAACAATAATAATCGTCTTGCTATCGTCAAAGGCATCAGCAACAAACAATACTATCGTCTATCGGCACAACCCTACTTGATAAAGATGAGAATTCAACTTCGAATTATTAGAAACGCACTTCTTCGTAAACATTGATGGAGAACAGTACAGGCTCCTTTTGTAGAAGCGGCTAACATTCTAGTGGTTTTCCTCATCAGGGTCTGGGGGTGTTCCAGAAAGCAGGTCATGTGACATACTCGGGTATGTTTAAAGGGTTAGTTCACCCAAAAATGAAAATTAGGCTGCATTTTACTCACCCCCGAGGCATCCTAGGTGTATATGACTTTCTTCTTTCAGACGAATCCAGTCGGAGTTATATAAAAAATTGTCTTTGATCTTTCAAGCTGTTTAATGCCACTCAGCGGGTGTTGCATTGCTTCAGTCCAAAAGAACTTAAATAAAAATCGCCCATCCATTAAATAAAAAAAAGGTGTCTCACACGGCTCCGGGGGGTGAACAGAGGCCTTAAGTAGCGAATAGCGAGTAGCTTCTGTTTCAGGGTTAGTTCACTTCAGAGGCAAGGCTCGAAATTGCGACCATTTTGGTCGCATATGCTCCCGAAATTTAATCTGTGCGACCTCAAAATATATTTGGGAGCATTTGTGCGAGTGCATATAATTGTTGTCGTGCGACCTGTTTTAATTTCTCTAAAAACGTAGAGGTATCAACACATCCGTGACCTACTGACCAGACTCCAGTGGGCGTGACAACATTATATATTACAACAACATAGTTATGTACTAATATAAGTAATATATAAGGTCATATATTATTCTAATATGGTTACTATATTTATTTTAGTTAGGGGTGCTCCGATCATGATTTTTGAGGGCGATCACCGATCGCCGATCACAGAAAGCAGTATCTGCCGATACCGATCACCAATACACCAGGCACTGCAAACAGAGTAATGTGAACTTGTCATTATGTGTGCGCTGCAAGTGTGCATGAGCTCACGGTCTCCAGGAGAGCGCGTGAGCGCTGAATGATTAAAAGCTAGCAAAAATTAAAAAGTAATACAATTTATAAACTTTAGTGACGATGTGACACTGCCTCGATTGTGCAAGTGACAATTCCTGTGTCAACTGTGCAGCTCGCTTATAGACAGACGTGATGTGTGGTGATTTGAAGCCATTTGCGTATTTTGAGAGAGAAAGAGAGAGCGCGCGGTGATTCACTCACGCTGTTTGTGAAATTACGTCTCACACAAGGTTTTCAAATTACATTAGAAGTTATTTAATGAAGAAATAAGCATTATAATGATTTCACCCGCGTCGGAGTGACTGAGACGGTGCCGCTGCATGTCGTGCCAAACCTCTCACGGCAGCGTCCCAACGTGATTATCGGCAGATAATGATTGGTAGCCGATCAATCGGAGCACCCCTAATTTTAGTGGCATATATAATAGTTATCAGTATACATTATAAAACACTATTATAACAAGGTAATTTTTGATTTATTATATTATATTATATATTTATTTCATTTTATATTATCATCTCACACATCATGGGTCAGCATTTTCTATAATATCAATATTTCTATAATATTTTCTATATTTCTATAATAAAAATGCATATCTGATATGACTTACTATATAATTAGCATCAAACAAACAACATAATCCTTATTCTCAAGGATTAAAGATTAAACGGAAAATGATTGCACAACCACCAATTAGGTGGCGATATGAACCAAGTATGCAAACAGCCTTTGAACAGAAGAAAGAAGCAGCATGGTGCGCTGTTTCTTAGCATCCGTTTCCATAGCGACTCGTCGTCGCTCTGTTGAGACTGTCTTGTGTGTTAACCAGGAACATACTCTGAGTTGAATGAACTTGCTCCTGGAACCAGCATACCTCGAGTAAGCAAGGTTTGGGTTAATCAACCTAGAGTTCAGGGTTTAGCTGATGGTAAGTTAACCTTGCTTTCTGGAATACCCCCCTGGAGAACACACACTGTTCATATTACAATATACCTAATAACTTAAAATCAGATAATCAGAAAAAAATTACCACGCAAGTTGAGTCGATTTCGTGTTTTTCGCTGGGACCGTTGGTTCTTGTGGCGTCCCAGTCATCAGAGCATGAGGGACAAGCATATTCTCTGTTTCTCTGCAGGAGATGAGCGCAAGTCTCTGCGACGCCGACACAGTCACAGCATATCATCAACCTAACAGATGGAGCCGTTAGTTTGGTAGGGGCTGAAAAATCTGACCACATTCAATTCATAAAGAAGCTTGATGAATAAAGATAACAGATTTAATATCATATATTCAAAAAAAAAAACACAGCTCACTCCAAAATCAAATAAGATGCGGAGTGAGAAACACAACAAAACTGAAATCCACAATGAATCTTCTCTCCTGGCTCATCACAGGAACTAACCTCATTTTGATAACGCAATAGACAAGCCTACTAGCACTAACTCAGTCGAACTCATCTAAAACAATAATGCGGGTCACAACAAGGTGAAGTATAAGTGAAAATTCGGCATTAAAAACCTGACACAATAGCATCACCAGTAACAGCATAAACACGTCTCACATGTTCACCTCGTTACCACATGAGCGCTGGAAAACGCTGGAAGCAGAGACTGTATTTTGACTGAACTCTGAACAGTGTATGATAAAAATCATTACATAAATCTTGTTCTAAATTCCCAAAAGTAACATGTTTGATGCTGATACTTGTACTGGACTGTTTTTAAATATACTCACGTGAGCTGAGCTTTAGATGAAGCTGCTAAACTTCACCTGATTATGTCAGACATCACAACTTTCAAGAAGCAGTTGATGACACACCTCTTCCACAAAAACACTTCAGTACTCCACAACTATATGAGGGTGAGTGTATGATGACAGTTTTTTTTGGAGGAACGTTCATCTTTATCCTGTTTACTTCTCACAGTTTTCTGGAATACTTCATTCTGATTGGTCAAGCTCATCATTCAGCAGTCCCATAATTCCTAACACTGACTATTGTCTATGGCCATGCAGTATACTGAACCTCTCATCCGGTAACTGAAACCTGCACTACTTTCATGTTGCACGAATCACACCACAGACTAAATGAGCTCCTTCCTGAGTAACAGTGACTGATCATATTGCAAAATAGCAGGCCCATGATGCTCACCTGTTACTGTGTCCTTGTTGACATGTGCAGCAGACAGCATCCGGATTCATCCTTTCAGTGTCTTCCTTGCTATTTTCAGAGAATTCCTCCTGTTCTTCCTCTGCAAGCTCATGGTCTTCCTCTGCTCTTCCACCTGCAGTGGCTTCCCGAGCTCCTGCTGCAGCGACAGAAGTCCCACCTGCCCCTGTGGCTGTGGAGGAGCACACCTTTCCTCCTCCTGATGTGATATCCGTGTCTTCTGACACTATCTCTGCCGGTTCCATCAGTAAGCTCAGCCCTACGTCGATATCTTCTGTGCCTTTCGCAGCAGCATCATCGTCATGCTTGAGCTCTTGCAGCTTTCGAGCCACAGCCCGCTTCCGAATCTCTTGGAGATTGAGATCGTCACTGTCTTCAGCTCGATCCGACGGGACTCCTTCACTGAGGCGCTCCTCACACGGCACTGTTTCCCGAGCTTCATTCTCACTGCTGCGATCACCTGCAGGAGTGAGCGCAGGCGCGCGTCCTCGACCCCGTTTAGAGGCCACAGGAGTCCGGCCGCTCTCGTCAGCCCCTCTGCCCCGGCCCCGACGGCGCTGGATCGGAGGGCTGCTGTCCACAGAGCCTACGGCTTGCATGAACTCCCGCCTGGCGAGGGTGCTCCGGCGGAAGCCCCAGGACCTGGTCATCGCCGCAGCGCTGGAGCCTTCCTCATCCATCTGAGATGAAGCACAACATTATCCTCACTGTTAACTTCCACTGCACATGACCTTTTCAACAACAACTAGACGGGATGAACATCTGTGTAATTAAATTACAAACTGCATCATCATCACTTATTGTCAATTTTTAAATGATCTAGCAGCTTCTTTGAAAAATCGCGTTTGGTCTTGTACTGTATCGCGTACCTTGTCAGTGTCGTGCGCTTTGCTTGGCCATTTGTTGTGATAAACAGGAAAGTGTGTTCAGCTGAATTCAATCGTACAGACTTGAGTCCCACTCTAACTGATAACTTGTATCAATATATTATATTTGTTAATGTATTTATTTGTATTGCCATATAGCCATTTTCATGTCAAGATTAATGTTTTTTTTAAAAGAAACAAATAGTAGTAGCAACAAAAAAACAATAACTACTGACAAACAACTACATTAATATAACAAGCATTATTTTAGATTTACAAATGTTGCCTAACGGCATTTAAAGCAGTAGGCTACATTTCAACAAAATATGCTTAATAGATAGAGGGATCTGATAAAAAATATTTTGCTATTATTTTATCAATATATTTTTTGTATTTCAGCAGCAATTCAAGTATGTGTGTGTGTGTGGCCACAGAAAAACAGAATGAACCAACATGTTGAATCCCTGTAACGTAACGAAAAGACACTAAAAGAGTGATTTTGTCATTTTCAGCAGCAATTTAAAGTCCGTTTATGACCAGACAGGCTTGCATGTGCTGCACTGAACCTGGGGAAAGTCAGTGGGATCTAATTAAACATAGTAAAATGTGTTGAAGGGAGCTTAAGCATTACATTGCTCCTGACAGCAGAAGGCATAAAAGAATTAAGCAAATATTTTAGAAAGGGTGAGAGATACAACTAACTTGGTGAACCAAAGTACATTTACTGATCTGTCTGCTATGATTAGATAATTTTTCAACATTTGCTTATCACAAATATCAGCTGATGAATGAATGATCGTAATTGTGTACTTCCAACGACATAATAGCTTAAAATTACATTAAAACGAAATACTTTGCAACGTTCTTCTCATGCTGTGACATGAACATTGCGCCTCGCGTGTCTGAGAGATACATTTCTCATTTATCTAATGCAAAAAGACCACAGCATCATGAATTGCTGTCGAATTGAGAAATTAACTGATCGAAACAGCTTTAGTTTAGACCCTTAAAAGGATAATTAGACTTAAAATGTTTTTTTTACAAGAAACACGCAACACACGACAGAGAGTGTGTGAATAAACAAGTGCAAAGCCCTTCGCTCACACACACTAGTATGAACTCTCGTATATAGCAACGGTTTCTAATAAAACTCACCCTTCAACGCAGGCTCACTCCACACAGCGTAGTGTCTGCGTTTACATGCACGCTCTGATTTACGTTAGCAAACTTATTAATGATTATTAATGTCTACTGCACTCAAACATAAAAACAAACGCGGTGTTTCCACCATTTTGTCCGTGAGAGGGGCGTGACGCAGACGGCGGCAAGACGCCACGCGCCGCATCACCGGAAACAAACAGCGCCCCTGGCGGACTGGATGACGAACAGCAGCTGCGTCTCACCCCATTTGTGCTCAAGTATTGCATTAAGCATCTGTTACCTAGCATATTTCAAATATCTGTCTCTACAACAATATATGTGTGTGTGTGTGTGTGTAAGCCTGCTAAGTGTGTAATAATTATAGACTATTAGAGGTTATGTGCAACAGACTTCCGTATTCTGTTAACCGGGTCTCGTTGCTTCCGGTTCAAGCGATTTGCATATGCTTCGTTAAATATGAAGCAGTTTTACTCAAGATGCCTTCAAAGTAGATACCAATGATGATCATAACCAATGTCCATCACATATGCGGACTGATATCTAAAAGTTTTTTTTTTTTAATTCTTTTCACTAACATTTAGATATAAAAATTGAATAAAACGTCAACAATAAAAATAGCTAGCTAGTTTAACTGATTTTCCTAAAAGTCCATAGATATCGCTATTATTATTATTATTATTTTTATTTATTTTTTTATTAAACTTCAATAAACACAGTCAAAGTACAGTTAGGACTACAATAATACACATAAAAACATAAAACACAAACAAAACATAAAAAAAAAAAAAAATTATAATAATAAAACACAGAATGGTTATTTTTATATAATATATTGTAATTGTTCCAAATTAGGTACCTATGGGGAGAAAAGTTATGTTTATACAATAGAGACCAAGCCAGCAACATTTGTTTATGAAAGCAGGATAAGCTTAAAGGAATTTTATCAATTCTGTAATTGCAAATCAAAAGAAATCAAAGACCACCAATTTTGGAAAAAACAAAATTAGGTATAAAATTCCATAAAGAATTTGGATTTAGAGTGAAATGTCTAATCCAATTAATTTTAAAGGTGTTATTTAGAGTACAGAAATCAAGAAAGTTCAATCCACCTGATTCATATGTATTCATTATTGTAGATTTCCTAATGTAATGTGTTTTGTTCCTCCACAGAAAATTAAACAAAGCAGTATCAACAGCTTTACACATCTCCTTAGAGACACTGAGTGAAGTGGCTGCATAGACTAATCTTGACAGTCCCTCTGCTTTACACAGCAAAACTCTACCTTTTAGGGATAAATCCCTTAAAAGCCAATGATTCAACTTTGCCTTAAGCCCCGTAAACGACAATTGGCGTCGGGACGCACGATTCAATCGTTTCATCTCGTGTAGTGTGTCATAGTGCACGACAACCGATGCCATGTCTGCGACGCTTCACGACATCAACACAGAAAGTCTAGCATGTTTAATTTTTTTCCCGTCGTCCACGACGGGTTCCGTCACATGGTTGACGTTGTGAACTTGAAGTGGAGAAAGTGACCATTTTAAAAATTGTGTCTGAAACACTGGTAGATGCCAGCAAGGATGTTGATCAGACATTTGGCAAACAGGTAGTATCTGAGATTAAGCTAATCAAAGACCCACTAACCAAGATGAGGCTGCGTCGTAACATCCTTATGATGTTATATGATGCACAGGAAAATGAGGCTAGATTAGCATTACAAACACCCTGGCAGGTTAAATAAATGTTTTTACTAAGGAAAATTAATCTTGTGCATTTAAAAAAAAAGCACAAATCATGTTAATTTTGACCATTACACATTCGGCTACTTTTAATTACATTCAGTTTTTAAATGTTATATTAAAAAAACAGTTTTAAAGGTTATATTTTGTGCTAACATTTGTTAAAGAAACAAACAGGAAGTCCACCTGAGCCAGTGTTCTATATGTCTTGCAAAATGTTCTAAATGAACACATTTATCAGTTGATGTCCATTTTTAAATAATATTTTCCTGCCAGGAAACAGATCCAGCCGGTGACAGAAAGTATGCCTTGAAATTGTCTCGATTTTTTTGGGCAGCGGTTGTGGCATTCCGTGCATTGCTTACTGGCACAGAGGGGAGTTCTCTATCTTTTCTCCAAGCTCCGGGTACTACATTGTGGTTCTCATCTTCTGCATCTGCAAAGGCTGAAGGCAGGTACACATCTGATGCCTTCTCCCTGAGGAAGTTATGCACACAGAGTGCAGCTAGTGTTAGTGTTGCCACTTTGTCAGGCTCCAGAGCAATGTTGGAAAGGAAAACACAGAGCCTATTGGCCAAAATTCCAAACGCGTTTTCAACTGTACGTCTTGCCCTTGACAGCCTGTAGTTAAATATTCGCTGTCCATGGTCCAGATTTCGGAAGGAGAATGGCTTCATCACGTCGTTGCGAAGAGGGAATGCTTCATCTCCAACAAATGCATAAGGCAAAGTTATGTTACTGCCTGGTAATTTTACTTTTTTTTTTTAACTGTTATAGCACTTGCATATCATTGCTCTTTTGTTAGTTTTGATTGCTTCTATTGTCCTATATTGAGGCAAATGAATAATAAAAAATATATTGTAAATCCCTCCAAAACTAAAAAGTAAGCAATATTACATATGTTTGAAAAAAATTACTGCCGTCAGCCATCAGGAGTTAAAGGGGATGTTGTACAACACACCTTTCTTTCTTTCTTTCTTTCCCCTATGGTATTGAAATTAGGGTAGTGGGTTTGAACCTTTGTCACTTTTTTCACCACTGATGAGTTTGTATCCTTCCACGCACAAGCTAGTTAATGGGCTTTTGGTCATTGACTTGAAGAAAGTTTTCTGCGGGAGTTAGTGTTAGGGGCCAGAATACAGAAGACGCCAACACTGATCTTGTATTATACCCCCCCCTCATCCATCCTCAGCAAATGTGCAGTAGACCTGTCAACACCAACTCTGACAGAGCTATGAGAAGCCGAGGTTGTGGGGAAATAAATGACAATGGCGGCAGACTTGTTGACTTATGTTTGGACAACAACCTAGTGGTTGGATGGCACCATCTTTCAACACAAGGACATCCACAAGCCGACATGGAAGTCACCATGATGGTAACATAATCAACCAGACTATCCACATCCTGATCAATGGAAAGTAGTGTAGGTCTCTCCAAGATGTCAGAGTGTGTCAAGTGACTCAAGTCACGGATGTCAACAGTGACCACAACCTTGTGAAAAGTACTCTCCTTCCCTTCACTCAGCCAAAGACTATAGGGACTTAGCTCACTCAGAATGGTCAATAGCAAAATATAATGTTCTACAACAGGGATGGGCAACTTTGATATTGACGAGGACCAGCACTTTTTCTCCTTAATACCAATGCGCCAGATTACTAATCCACATCCACACACCTTTTACACTCACTGTCTTACTCAAAAATGTCCTTTTTAATGAAAGAAATCAAAGTATAAGTAATGTAATTTGTTTTGTAATTTAAAAGATTTTATTGAATATAAAACTTGTGCAGTTATGCCAATTCAAATGGGAAACTTTGTTGTCAGTTGACAAACAATATTACCCCAACAAGCAAATGTAAACATCTCAATTGCATTGTCTGTAAATTTGCAACAAACAGTTGTACAGAGGTCCTATTTTTTATTAGTAGAACACTCTCAACACAACCTAAGAGGACAGAAAACGTGCTAAGAAAAAGTGTTTATTCAAAAAATATTTATTCAGCATGGTACCATAATATAACAGGATATCTGCAGGATTATTAAAATCAAATGTGAGACTTTTTAAGACCTTTTTACGACCTGCACAAATAAAATTATTAGCATGTGAGTGGGGTAGGGCAATGTCTATAAACTGTAAAATGACTGTAAAAAGCATAGTTTACAGTTCAGATACAGATTTTCACAAAGCAATAAGTTTTATAAAATGATAAACTTCACATTTCTCAATCTTACAAGAAATAAACTAAAAGGTAATAAAGATATGAGTGATCCTAAGAGTTTAGAGATATATTGCTTACTGTAGAGGGTGTGCCCTTTCCCAGTGTCTTTCATGAAGATCTGCCCCCAAAAGTTGTAAACTCTCTATGTGTCACAGCCATCTGCTGGAGTGCCCATGACCTCTCGGACCATTGTTTATTGTTCATGGACTTCAATTCCCATCACCCTTTGCCTGGACTATCATGTTTCATTGCTCCAGTCCAGGAGCTCTCCGAGTTCACTCCAGAGCCTACTCAAGTCTATAAGTTTACTCTCGATCCCACTCAAGTCTACGAGTTCACTCCAGAGCCCACTCAAGTCTGAGTTTACTCCTGATCCCACTTAATTCTACGAGTTTACTCTCGATCCCACTCAAGTCTACAAGTTCACTCCAGAGCCCATTCAAGTCTATGAGTTTACTCCTGATCCCACTCAAGTCTACGAGTTTACTCTCGATCCCACTCAAGTCTACGAGTTCACTCCAGAGCCCACTCAAGTCTATGAGTTTACTCCTGATCCCACTCAAGTCGATGAGTTCATTCCAGAGTTTGCTCCAGTCTACGAGTCCGCTCCAGAACCCACTCAAGTTTATGAGTTCACCCCTACAGTTAAGCTGCTGGTCTCGTCTGGCCAGAGGAGAACGGCACACTATTTCAACACACTATTTCCCTTTTTCAGTACTGTAAAGCTGCTTTGACACAATCTGAATTGTAAAGAGCGCTATATAAATAACGGTGACTTGACTTGACTTGACCCCAGAGCTCACTCCGGAGCCCGCTCCAGTTCCTCCCGAGGTGGCGGCATCCACTGCAGAACCTCCAGATGTGGCGGGGGTTTTCACTTTAGCTCCTCTCAAGACAGGGGTGTCCACTTATGAACTCTTCATCTATCCTGAAGAGGTCAAGGAGACCGTCAGGAATTCCTGCATATACACCTCTATCTTCCTGCCATCTTGAAATATGGTGCAGAGTCAAGCCCCACTGAAACATTCCCACTGAGTCCATCTTTTGATTTGGTGGTCTTCTGTCACAAGTTATACAGGGATCGACAACAGTTAAGCAACATAAACATAAAGCCAGCAACTATTCCCAGAACAGAACAGTAACATGTGAACAAACAAAACCTTCTCTTGAGCGAGTGGCTTTCTTTTTTTTTCATTGAGTCTATAAAATTGGACAAAAGTGTGAGGCGAAACCCAGCTTCCTGCCAC